GATTATGTATTTACACCAGATGCCTACTCTGTTACTTTGCCTGCCAAAGTTCATGTTGTTGGTGAGTAGATAAAATAAGTTATCATAGTTGTGTTCTTCTGTTTTTGTTTACCATGGAATTATAATGTACAAAAAACTATGATATTTAAAGAAAAAAATACCTCAATTGGTATTAATTTCTAATTATAAATAGTTTACTCTTGAGTCTTACAATGAAATGGTTTTTGTAAGGTGCCACACACCGACTGCCTCGACCCCTTTTATATTCCTTTTGACCAGATAAAATATTGGTAACTACCAACACACTAGCTAAGCACTAGCCACAGTATTCACATAGAAATGACTGTCTAATAAATAACGAAGGCCACACTTAACGTTCCAGATCCTCCTAAGATCATCCTGGACGGTCTTGATGCTGACAATACAGTGACAGTGATTGCAGGAAACAAGCTTCGGCTCGAGATCCCCATCTCTGGAGAACCACCTCCTAAAGCCATCTGGAGCCGAGCAGATAAGGTTTGTTCCATACATACACACATACACACACGCATGCACGCACACACTGCCCTCCCTGTTCCCTGCCCTCCATTACTCAGATGAAGGGAGAAGGCAAATAAATATACAGGAGTGCATGACAGACGTAATTCCTTTGAGAAAGAAAAGATAACTTATTTTCAGGCAAATATGATAATCATTTGTTTACTTTTTATATTAATATTTCTGACCACCAGCTATGTGGCCAAGCATATTTTTATGTACAGTGAACAAGGTCTCATCTTTTATTCTAATGGGTGTCAGGGGTAGGATGGAAGAGAAGTCGACAATGGATTATTAAATAAATAAATGAACGAAATCACTTTGGATTGTAAAAAGTGCTATGAAGATCATGAAAGAGAAAGATATGATAGCAAGTGGCTGCACAGTCCATGGCAGCCTCTGTGAAGGACAACGAGGAACCCATTACATGAAGATCAAAAAGAAGAGATTTCCAGGCAATACAAGTGCAAAGGCCAAGGGGAGAGAGTGAGCCTGACCTGTTGGAGGAATAGAAGGAAAGCCAGTGTGGCTGGGGCAAAGTGAGTGAGGAGGAAAAAAATAAATTAAGAGTAGCGCCAGCCCAAGTGTGACCCTGTGGCTTCCTGTAAAAAAAAAAGTTTTACATTTAAAAATCAGATGTGAGACTCTTCCTTTCTACCAGAATTGAGTAAAATGAATCAGATTTACCCACTCACCTGAAATAACACCCGCAAATCAACAAAGTATATGAACAATTGCTTTCAAGACATTGGACATCAGACAATGAAAGACAGTCACTCTGAAATATGGTAAACAAATGAGGTGAGCCCTGCAATTGCTCCCACTAGCTGGACTAACTAGGAAAAGGGGAGGAAAGGCCACTTACCAGAAATGAAAGAGGGGATATTACTTCAGATCCCATAGACATTAATAGGATAGTAAAGGAATATTATGAACAACTCTGTGCCCACAAATTTTATAACCTAGTTGAAATGGACAACCCCCTTTGAAAAACAGAATCTGCCAAAACTCACATAAGAAGAAATAGGCAATCTGAATAGGACTATATCCATTAAAGAAATTGAATCAATAATTAATAACCTTCCAAAACAGAAAGCACCAGACCCAGATGGGTTCATTGGTGAATTCTACAAAACATTTAAGGAAGAAATTATTCCAATTCCCTATAATCTCTTTCAGAAAGAGAGAAGCAGAGGGAATACTTCCTAACTCATTCTATGAGGTCAGTATTACCCTAATACCAAAACCAGAAAAGAAAATTTCAAACCAATATCTCTCAAAAACATAGATGGAAAA